GGAGCCGGAGCGGGCTGGCTGGGGGCGGCCGCCGTGGCGTCGGGTTCGGGATCGGGTTCCGGATCAGGGTCCCGGCCCGGCGTGCTGCTGCGAGGACCCGGCGGAGAGAGCTGCAGGATGGGCCTGCGGCCGGGTACCGCCCGCGACTTCTTCCCCATCGCGAGCCCGAGCGCGAGCTGCGAGCGTCGGCAGCCGAGAGGGGCGGGCGCGGCGCGACGCGGTGCGTAATGAATATTCATAAAGCACAGCCCCGCCTCCGGCCCGCTGCCGCTTCGAATCCGCCGAGAGTGCGCACGCGCACGCAAGCGCCCTGAGCCCCACTGGTCTTCTGGCTCCTCCTCCCCTGCGGAAGGGCGGACTCTCCCCCCGAGGTATTACACTATTGGCTATTTTGACCTAGCGTCGGAACGGATAGCCAATGGGAAGGGAAAAGCGGTGGGCGTCAAGCCAATAGTGCGGAAGGGCTTGCGTTTTGAGTGACTTCCTGGGAAGGTCGTGTTCCGCCCCTGCGTTTCCCCGCCTCGCCCCGGACTCTTTTCTTTACTCTCCTCGTCCTCCATCTTGTTTCCGTGCTCGACTGCGCGTTGTCCTCTAAGAGGCTGCTGGCCTTGTGGACCCTTCCCCAAGTTTCCCTCGCATTATTGCGCGTACTTTGGTTTACGTATAATAATGGGATTTATGCTTTTGTGAAAAAAGTTTTCTTGTTTTGCTTTCTGGGACGGGGTCCCGCCCTGCAGTTGAGTCCCGCCCTGCAGTTGAGTCCCACAAAGGCTTTGCCTTTTTAAGGCAGGGTTTCACTATGCAGTTCAAGCTGGCCTTGAACTCACAACGATCCTCCTGCCTCAGCCTCCCAAGTGCTGGGATCACAGGCGTGCACCACTACGCCTGGCTTGGCTGATTATATTTTTAAAGAAACAAAAAGAAACGACAGAATTGGTGTAAGAGTACAGAGTCTAAGCTATTTATTGTCTGTCTCTTCCCAGGAGGAGTTTGCTTATATCTAGTTTCCAAATGGGCAAACATGGCCTTACTTTGAGAAGCTGGAAGAAAAATAAGGCCTGGTCCTTTACTTCCAGCCTAGCAACTCTGGAATTACTGATTTTGTGTTTGTTTTTGTTGTTTTGTCTGTAAGCTTTTTAAATGTTTTGTCATGTTTTTAGGTACTGGGAACCGAATGTGGGCCTTGTGCATCCTAGGAGAGCACTGCACCACTCACTGATGGAGCCACATCCCCACCCTGTTGCTTTGGCTTTTCGTGGTACCGGGGACTGAATGCAGGGCCTTCACACTGAACCACTCCTCTTTTACTTTTTATTTTGTGGCAGGCTCTAAATTGCTAAGTTGCCTCTACAAATTTAAACTTGTGACCCTCCTGCCTCAGGCTCACAAAGTGCTGGGATTACAGGTGGTAAATGCTACCATACAGGGCTCTGAGGGGTTTTTTGTTTTGTTTTCTTTGTTGGGCTGTCCTCATGACACTGTTTCAGTAAAACCAAGTCCTCATGACACTGTTTCAGTAAAACCAAGTTCTCAAGGCTGACATTTGACAAGGAAAACCTGGGAAACACAGCCATTTGAATAAACGTGTATTTTCAACTATAGTCACGTTCTTGTTTTACCGGTCAGTCTTTTCTTATATTTTGTTACTCATTTTAAAAGCTGACTGGAGCCAGGTGTGGTGGCACACATCTGTAACTATAGCACTTGGGAGG